TCTGCTCTGTGATGTCTGGGGCCTCAGTTGCTCTGTGGTGTCTTTATTGGGTCTGTCCTCCATAGTGGTCTCACGATAGACTTCTCACATGTCTCAGAATTTGAACAGTGACTGTTCCAAGATATCAAGGTAGAAGCTTCAAGGGCTTTTTGGACCCAGACTCTAGATATTACGAAGTGTCACTTCTGCTGTATTCTCTTCATTGCATGTGACCATCCCAGATTAAATGTGGGACGTGGCTACACAAAGGTAAGACTATCAGGAGGTAGGGGTTATTGGGGGACCACCTTTGAGGCTGGCTATCATATCCTACTATTCAACTTGAAAACACAAGCTGGTTTTTTAAATGCAAATTAAATGACATCACTGTACCAGAAAACTTCAATGATTATTGCACTGAAAGAAGAGGTCAAGACACATGTTTTCTATGCTCCTTCCAGCCACTGTGTTATCTTTATTAAATGAAATCATGAATTAGAGGCAAAGAGTGTTTGTACTTGGTATTCAGATTTATAGAAAGGCAGTCATATTACCCACTCTGGCTGTCAGGGAATCCATGCTGACTCTGTACACTTGGTTTTTACAGGCTGTATCAGATTGAGAAAATTCTGGATGCTGGCTTTAAAATGAGAGTAAGGCATCCAAACTATTGTGAAACCAGCAGTTATCCCATCTCATCGCCCATTATCACCATGAGAAGTAACAACAACGACACAAATAAATAAAAAAAAAAAAGGGCACTAAATGATGCTTTGGCTTGGGAAAGGATGCTTACATGCACACACAGGATACACAGTCTTTTAAAAACCATATGTTCTAATGATTTTATTGCTCGGTAACAAAAAAGAAAAAAAATGAAACTGACATTGATGCTAAGGCGTGAACTGAAGTTGAACCGTATTGATGACGACGAGGGTGCAATGCTAGGAGGAGGCTTGAGGAGGAAGGCATCACAGTATTTTGCATTCTTGTAAACATTGGTACAAGTACAGAGTGACTGAGATTTCCCTAGATGATGCTAACTAGGCCCCAAGTTCCTCTGATTCCAGAGGGATGAAGCATTAAGGGTCTTTTCCATTTCCCATCTGCTAGGATATATTATACAGCCCTAAAGATGAATGGATTATGATTTGGCTACTTTTCTTCTAAGATGCTGTTGTTGGTTCCTCTTCATGTTCCTGGTGCCCTGCAAGGTGGGCTCAACCTCCAAAACGGAGTCCTACGGGATGGCATGAGGAAAATGCTGCCCCCGATACAGAGGAAGAAAAATGAGAATGGAGAATTTTTGCCACATTCTCCTCTCCAGCTTCATTTCCTTCAGGAAGGGACTTTGTAATGGCAAGGGCTGTTTAATCTTCAATAAATAAGGGCTCTTGGCTGCACCTTACTCCCACTGCCCTTCCACCCTTGTGCCTCTACTCTCTGTCCTGCATTGCCACCTCTGCCAGTAACAAGAGCAGCAGGAAGGATGGACTGTCAGCAGTCTTTGAGCAGGGCAGGTCTTTGCAGAAAGTTCCAGGTCAGCCCAGCCCTCACATCTGATGCACACCAGCAGGACTTACATGGAGAACTGAAGAGAAAGAAAGAACAAGCTGGCTGCCTTATTTAGCACAATTGTAAAGTGAGGGGCTCCTGGGGGAGGCAACAGTGGAATGTTGGAGGCTAGGATGCAGACCCCGAAGCTCTGCAGAGAGACTGCCTTGGTCTGAAATGTGATGATGTTGGCTGGTGGTTCTGGGGACTGGAACCAGAATACTTGGTTACATGGATGTGAACCTAGTACGGGGGCCACACCACAAACTGGAGCACAGTCCAGTGGGTTAACCTATACCACATGGACAGGGGAGCAGTTGAGTCCTGGGGACAGCTGTGTTTTACAGCCCTGCTGCTGCAGTAGGGCATGACACTTGGCTCTGCTGGCCAACTCTCAGCCTTATCCCCACCTGAGTAGCCTGGATATGCCGTGCAATGGGCCCTCTGCTCTGTGGCGGTTACTCCATGGTCTCAGATCTTAGAGTCTTGTCTCACTATTTCATGGGGGGCTGTGGCAGCTCTTCTGGATTGACACAGTGTGAGATGAGGCAGACGGCATCTTAGTAGAGGTGCAAAGGGAGGAGAGGCCAGCCATCAGATGTTTTCTAGGACATCGAGGGGCACAAGGCCTCTCTTTTTCCCACTGAGGACTCTGATAAAGCCATCTTGTTCTTCTTCAGAAGTCACGCAGATCTGAATACAAGGGAAGCAAAAAAAAAATATATATATATATTAAAAACAAATTAAAACAAAAAAAAACCTTAGTGTCAACAAGAAAGGAGCTGGAACCAGCAGTTTGAATCACTGGGTACTGAGATTGCAGGAACACACACTAGAAAAAGAAAGAGCAGTCTCAGGGTAGAAAGGATAGTACAGCAAGAAAAAGGGTTGATAAAAATTAGATAGAAATCTGGGTTTGGTATCAGGCCCAGGAAATGAATATTTTCTGAGGTTCAGCTTCATAAATGAAGATCAATGAAATGATCTAAGACTTATAATACTGTGTCCCTGTAAGTGCAGAAAAAGATAATACTTATTCCAGAGGCTAGCATGTAGCATCTGGTGAGTTCTCAACAGATTATTTTAAAGAACCAAAATAACAGCTCTTATTCAGTAGCCTCCTATCATGTGCTTGGAATTCTGTATGCATCTCATACAATATCAGGATGTCAAAGGAACCGATTGCATTCCTGGCCCCAGGCAAAAAGATGCTAATACCTCCCATAGTAAGGCTGCCTTAAAAGAGAAATATATATATATATATATTAAAAACAAATTAAAACAAAAAAAACCTTAGTGTCAACAAGAAAGGAGCTGGAACCAGCAGTTTGAATCACTGGGTACTGAGATTGCAGGAACACACACTAGAAAAAGAAAGAGCAGTCTCAGGGTAGAAAGGATAGTACAGCAAGAAAAAGGGTTGATAAAAATTAGATAGAAATCTGGGTTTGGTATCAGGCCCAGGAAATGAATATTTTCTGAGGTTCAGCTTCATAAATGAAGATCAATGAAATGATCTAAGACTTATAATACTGTGTCCCTGTAAGTGCAGAAAAAGATAATACTTATTCCAGAGGCTAGCATGTAGCATCTGGTGAGTTCTCAACAGATTATTTTAAAGAACCAAAATAACAGCTCTTATTCAGTAGCCTCCTATCATGTGCTTGGAATTCTGTATGCATCTCATACAATATCAGGATGTCAAAGGAACCGATTGCATTCCTGGCCCCAGGCAAAAAGATGCTAATACCTCCCATAGTAAGGCTGCCTTAAAAGAGGTGGTAAAAATCTCTCTGGGACCCTTGCTGCTCACCACTCGAAGGTTACTACAGGGCATATGAGAGTGGATGTGGTCAGAGGTAAATCAGAGGAGGTGTTTGAAGAGAACTGTTAGTGTCTTGTGAGTTTCTCCCTCCTGACCTGCTTCCATAGATGATGAGTTCTATCTGAGGTTGGATTCCCTAGATATAACCTGAGATAGGGATCCTTGTGCAAGTGACCTATTGAGTGGGCGCTCTTAGGAGGTGGGAAATGAGGGAGCAGGATGGGGAAAGAAGAGCCAAATGAGGAGGTTGTCTCAGTTGGAGCTCTGAGCCATGGAGCATGAATTCTATCACCATATTCTCTTCCTTTGAGGCAAGGAGTCTTATTTTTTCTTTCTTTTCTTTAAATTTATTTTTTTACATTAATTCACTATACATCATTACAGCATACAAAATGAATTTTCCATCTAGAATACACTGTATATTGGCTCAATCAAGCACATCAACATACGTGTTATCAAATAATTTTCCATTTCTGGGGGACCAGCAGTTAGCGAATGGCTATGTCGCTGGACTCCCATGTAGTCAACCGCGGTTCGCATCCCAGACCCGGTGGCTTAAACTCACTCCGGGCGCGTGTACGTGCGTGCCCAAGAACCCGAGAGGAGAATGGAGGAAAAGGGATTGCGGCGTGACCATCCCCCCTGGGGGGTGATTTCTCGCTTTCTGTCTCTCTGTCTCTGTCTGTCTGTCTGGCGAGTGCATGCACCCTATGGCAAACCGCCCCCCCCAAAAAAAAGAAAAAAAACAAACCTCTCCCCCCC